CCCCCCCGGCACCACACCAGCCACTGGCAGTTTCGCAGCACTGCACAAGAGGATAGGAGACACCACTATAATGCAAATTTTACCTGTGTAATAATTGCATCCAAGCCGTTGGCACCCCATGCATAGTCCATTGGATTTGAATGCAAGACTCCCCTTTAAGAATAAGGACAACAATTAAATTTGGTTGGGAGTATGAACAAGAACACCGTCAGTAAGAGCGGTACACCTTCTAACTCACCAAGGACCTAGTCCTAGGTTTGGTATTGTTGTAGGTGCAATAATTCCATTGACCAGTTGCTGGATAATTCTGAAAGACAAGAAAACCAGGATTATTTAAGAATTAAGCGTCTGCTAGCTCCCAGCCCAGAAACCTGTCATGGAAGGAATGGCTAAATACGCTAAATACAGTCGCATCATCCGGGGAAAAGGAAAAATATCCTGTAGCGATTGTAATTCCATCTTATGAGCTGATTATTCATTGATAAAAAGAAATTTCAATATTTTACTCGTAAGGGGATTATTTCTGACAAAGATGGCAAGTGGCTCTCCAGGATGCAGTTAGAGAAACATCAGTCATCTTGTCCAGTGTTTTCTCTTGTTTCCCCTCAACTCAAGCACAACATTCTGGTAATACCTGGCAATGACCAGGGAATGCTTTCTCACTGCAGGTTTTAACGGTCAAAACTCCCAGCCACACTGCAGTCCATGCCGCTGTGCTCAGGTGAAATGGCCACTAAAAGCTCAAGGCAAGAGCTTGCCAGCAGCTGCAGGCCCAGCCTGACCATCCAGAAGTGCGAGTTCCCAGGGGCAAAGCTGAGCACCTGCGGAAGCGTCACACTGGACAGCTGTGCTCAGGAACAATTTTAAGAGATCCCTACTCAAACCGATGAGAAAAAGGTACAGGCTGATTTTCAGCTAACTCTCATCAGTGAAAAATCACAGGGCTTCCTCCACAAGAACCTGGCAGTTGTTCTCACCCTTCTAGCGTGGGAACTCCCTCGTGCCTGCCAGCGGCACGGCGTGTAGCGAGACGGGCTCGAGGCTGCCTTGCACCGTATCGATGCCGAGACTGATGCTCTCGCTCCCTCCGGTTCTCAGAGTCCCTGTTGTCTTCCGACTGCACATTGGACCCAAATGGAAACTCAAAGCTGTCATCAAAGATCCCAAAGGCAAATTGGCCATAGCCCTGTGGCAAGGTGAATAAGTGCTGATCTACGTTCTGGGAGGGAGAGAACAGATTGTAACAAGGAGAGAAACAGCTCTTAGCTTTCAGGCCTGGTATTTCACCAGCCTTCCAACAAAGACTAGTCTCTCCAGATCCACAGCAACTCACAAGCCTTGGCTGGCACAGGTGATCAGCACGCTCTCAGAAGCGGCTTAGTGAGGAACAGACACAGACTGAAACTACATACGAAGCTAGGAAACAACTACAGCTTCCCTGTTTTTTCTTTAGCTGCTGCATGCAACTGCTGCCTTTTAAGCTGAGGCTACTGCATAGCAACACACCCAGACAGCTCACTAAATCCCAGCTTAGCCCCCTCACAACAAGAATAAGCTACAAGTGATGGTCCTATTAAAAACACGCAGTAAAAATACGCCATGCAGAGATTTCAGGAGCAGCATGTGGATGATATGAATACCTCCTTCCCCAAATTTTGTCATAATCCAGGGAACATTTAAACAACGTACTAGTGGGAAAAATACTTCAATTCAATCTCAAGGCAGAAAGTGTTGGAAGAGATAAAGAGGACTTACCTCAAAAGGATGCCTGCTCTGATCGCTGGTTGATGTAGAGGAGCTGGTCTCATTGTCAGCATTCCTGTGAAGAACAAAGAGCATTGGTAACCCTCAGAGGGGTGCTACAAAAAGGTTTTCCAAGCAGAGGGGAGCAAGGGACACGAGTTTGACAGGAAAAGCAGACACCACAGCTGCTCAGTATCAGTACACAGGAAATGACCGACCCGTGCCTGTGCAGAGCCAGAGCTCAAAGGGACCTCAGAGGTCTGCTCACCTTCCCTTCTGCCCCGGGGCAGGGTCAGCTCCATACAGAAACTAGTCTGCTCTCAGCTGCTGATTGTCCCTATCAATTTTAATTTTTCCCGCCCTGCAACTTTCATTTCCCCACATCTTCACCCATCTCTCCCCACATTCATTGGTAATGAATGTGACCAATTCATTACATTCTGATTTCATGAAGTTAGAGAGAATTGACTGAACCACGACGTCAAGCAAGGATTCCCTGCACAATCCACCTCAAACAAATCAGCTAATCCTCTGGAGCACCAGGAAGAAAAGACTTAAGGTGCAAACCCTGATCACTATGACCCAAACATGCTTAAGTCTAATCTTGAATCAAAGGAACTTCTCTACTGCAGCGGCATGTGACCAAACAGGACAGATTATTAGGAAAACTCTTAATGCTGTTAGGCTTCTGCTTTTGGAGAGCTGCAGGAACATTTACTGCTCACTATCCAGCTCTACGCTTTGACACTCGTTCTAACAAAAAACTAAGGTTCAGCAATTAGCGACTCTCCCAAGGTCACAGCAAATCACCAATACAGTTAGAATTAGCCAGGGTTGATTTTCAGCCCCTAAGGTTGGTGTAGTCAGACCAAGTGTCACCTTTTCGGTACAGAAACCTCAGTCTGTAAAGACCACCTCTCTTAGCAGGCAGCAACACACATCTGGCACACCCCCCAGGCAGCTCAGTGTGCCCTTGCACTGAACGCCTGCCAGCCTGCCTGCACGCTGCCTGTCCCGAAGCCAGTCACAGACACGGTCCGGCAAACGTGCCTGAAACATTTTAAGGCACTTCTCCTACTCTTGCCCATTCCGACACTGCCAGAGAGCAGTCCCACTACTGAGTCAGCAGTAAAGCACGTGAATGCAGATCTCAGCTGCTCCAGTGCAGAGTCCAAAGTCTTAGTCACAATGTTTCACCGTTAGTACTCTAAACTAAGTTATGAAATTATACACTGAAGCATGTATACACTCTCCATTCCACAGATTCCTCTCTCAGAGGGTTATCTCGATCCTGACGATTCAAACCAGTTCAGAGCCACCACATGCCATGGAGAAAGTTTCTCTACCACTTTTTTTTAATTTGTTTTAAATCAGCCCACTCCTCCCCCACCCTTTACCAGCAATATATGACACTCAGCGTTCCCATGTCTGATTTACCTGTAGATGCAAACTATGCAAATTAAGCACTATCTGCCCATTGTGAGGAAAGATGAGCCAAATATTGGGCAGAAGTAGTAAAAATGGTGTATTTAGTATCCAACATTGCCTTTTAACTAGAAAACTGAAAAGAGCAAAGCAGACAGAGTTCACGCCAGTCTTTGGGGCGGCACGTTACCTTGGCTCTTCAGGAAGTTCTTCAATAAAACCAGATTCACACCGTGGGCAAATATAGTCCTACGGGAGAAGAAAGACTGAATGAGAAAAGAAAGTGGTATGTAAAAGCTGCAAAGAGTGCCTTCAGTGCTGTGGGGTGGAAGACGAGAGTCCTGCAAGTCCATCATCCCAAATGCATGCGACAACTACAGAGCCAAAAGACCCCAAGCCACTGATATTCGCCTTCACCAGACTAGTGAGGCAAATTGTTAAGCCTGAGCCTGTTTGGAACTTGGCTTTAGAGAAGATTTGGATAACACTAATTAATCTCCAGTATAGACAAAGCATTAGATAACATCTGATGTAGTTCTGGGTGAAGTGAAAGCAAAACCACCGGCCTTCCCAGAAAAGCAGCACTCACACATTAGTTTTTAAATAGCTGCATGTTTTGGGGATGTTCCCCACCCCCTCAAGGGGCCAAACTGCCCTAATGAAAGAAACAAGGAGGGAACTGCAGCACAGGCTAATCGGGGCTAATCACGGTGTCACTGTCGCTTAGGAAGGGCTGAATGCAAGGCCGTTTCTAACGTAGTCTGGGGCTCACACCACCCAGAGGTCAAGGAGACACAAGAGGGTCATTCTGCAACACACAATACCAGAATTTTACACTCCCACGCTCAATGCTCATTACAGGAAGCTACTGCCACCCTTGTAGCATTTAACACTGAAGACTGAATATGTTGGAATAAACAGCCTGTGTTTATTATGTTTACTTATTAACATATTATGTTCTGTGCAGAAGCAAGATTCCTCAGGAGTTTGCCACACTCACTCTTCCTCACAGTTCCTGGTGTTAGTGAAGAATTTATACTCCACAACCATACTGCCCTAGTGAGCAGCAGCCCAGAACGCTTAAGATCCTGAAAGGAAATTACCTCACTTTTCAGTGCTCGAGAAGCAGCACCATGCAGCACCGCCGAGTCAGAAGAGGAAGTCACAGACCCTGTACGTAACCCCAACCATGGCTGAGCTGGAACAGCCACCATGGGCAAACACAACCGCTCAAAATCCCGCGCTGGCAAAGCCAGGCTCAGCATGGAAGAAATTTAAGAGCTTCTAAAAATAACGCAACTTCCCTTTACTACTGTTACGTTTGACTTGGCACAGCCCCTCAAACAAAGTCAATGGATTCCCCAAAAGAGGAGGGGATGCCAGCCATATGGGTTTGCTCTGATAAGCCATCTGGGATCGCTCCTCCAGCCACCACTGAAAAACTTGATAAGGCCAAAGCGCAAGGCAGCAACGCCAGCGACCCACTCAGTGCTGCCCCTGCCTGCCCAGCAAGATAAGGAAGCAGCAAACACCGAGACCTAGAAACAGACTCAAGAGAAGTTGCGGCTCCCTCTTCTGCGCAAGACTCTTTAGATTTAGGATTGTGAAATAACTTCGTCGACGCAATTTACACAACGTTTGATTTCAAGAAGATTCTATACCATCCAAATTCTTCGCAAAGTTGGTTAGCAGCACACGGGAACTCCTGCGTCGATCACAGAAAATCAGATCAATTGCCTCTCCCTTTGGAATACCCCCTTAATGTTCTACTTTCCACCGGTATGCCACTGGGGTAAATTATCACAGTAGCCACACTCAAGAGCAGTGAGCAACTTACTCCTCTCAACTCCCCTATTTAAGGGAGGCCTTTTTGCGTGTGTGCTTACAGACAACTCTGAACACAGGGATCAGCAAATTCCGTTGCAGCTGGAACAGCATAAATGTCAAAGTTTGTTGTTTCTCAGGCTGTTTGAATCACTCCTTTTGCAGCATATGCTACGGTATCTGCAGTAGCTTGGTCTGCAAACAGTAAGTGAAACCAAATGAACTTGGACCCCCAAAACAAGTTCATTAACCAGTAATTAACTAGACCTGAATTAACAAAAGCAGTCGTCCACCCCCCACCACACTTCAGTGCCTTCACTACCAGATGTGCTCTGCTGGCACGTGCCCAACATGGGGTGTTTAAACAAAAATAAACAATCGGTATTTGTAGGTTACAACCTTCAGCTCCCAAGCCACTTTCTCCAGCCTGTCTATGTATTTTGCAGGAGCACTATCAAGAGTTTTGTCCTCATGCTTAAATACAAGCTGAGATTTACCAGCAAGGCCTACCCTCGCCTAACCAGTAAGACCGAGGGAGCGGGCGAAAGGACAAACAGCACGTCACAAAACCAAACCGACGGCGAAGTCTAATCAACCATGGCAGAGAGACACCTATGCTCACAGTCAGGTGACTTTTAAAATTCAATAAACGTTAACAAAAAGGAATGCCTTATTCTGACAAGATGTTGTGAAAGTTTAAGGACAAATAGAGACTGACAGTATCCTCCAAACTGAATTTAACATCTCACAACATCTGGCAGGAGATCAACAGAAAATCTAGCTGTGACCTACCACGTTGTTTTAGCCTGTTCCTTTCCAACGGCTAATGCTCCTTTTCTAGCCCTGCCAGGAAAATATGACTCCTTACAAGCAGGGGTTTTACTCGGCGATTAGAGCACATCTGCTCTCGCGCTGCACCTAGCCTACAAAGCACTTCTGCGTTAGTGAGTGGAAACGGAGCGTACGCATCGTTTCTGCACTTGCCTACGTCTTAAACATTATCACCCGTGAAGCTTTTCTCATACCCATTTACATCCTG